TCCTTGTAAGAGGGAACTCATCCCCTTAGGTGTATTTTTTTGTTGTAAATTACTTGTGTGGGGAGCTACGTACACACTAGGTGACGAGATTTCGTGCGTAGCTATATTCCATGTGATGTCCAGGTAGTAATAGATTTACATCATGCTTTTTTGGCATTTTTACTTGATTATGCATATTAATTGTCTTAAATAGAACTGAAATTAAGAATTTTAAGATTTAATGTCTCCAGTTTAGACTTCTTATTTTTGGAATGAATTGAAGAATTATATAATAACCTTGGGAAATCCATGTCCATTCGCGTCACAAGTAATTCCGCGAGCGATGTAAATTCCTCTACTCTCATGGGAGCGGGACGTTCACCTCAACAGGTTAATAGATGCATCTATGGTTTGTGTCGTTCGACCCTTGACAATGCACACATAATATATATATATATATATATATATATATATATTTCTCTTATATAAAAAAGAGAAGTTGGTCAACCAAGGTATATTTATAATTTTAGCTGACATAAATTGAATTTTTATTGCTCATAACACGTAACCTTTATGACATTCTTCATCTAGAATCCTCCACAGCTTAAGTCCTCCAACTTCCTCTCACCTTTACTTTGTCCAATCGTCTTTCATTTTTGCTTCTATTTGTTTTCTAATTATTTCATTGCGGTATACTAATGGTTAACATCTTCTTACCCATAGTTGAAGAAAGAGGTGAATTGATGAAGTATCTGCCAATATACGGACCGTACAACATCGGCATAAGTCGTGCGTAATAATACTCAGAGCCTAATTACACTTGATATCATTTTATTGTCTTGAGAGGTTACAATTATGTAATAATGGAAATTGACCTGGGATTTACTATTAGTGAAAGATTTTTTTATTTACTGCTTCTTATTGAGTTTTCATTATTATTTACATAGTTCGTGTTTATTTTGAATTTCAGTATTTTATTATTTAGCCTGTAGTAAGTGCCGGAGTCAACCTCTCGTCACTACTTCTTCGAGGTTAGACTAGATACTTACTGGGTACATGTTGTTTATGTACTCACGCTATACTTCTGCACTAACCGTGCAGGATTTGAGGCAGGTGCATCTGGTTATCATCCCGATGCGCACTCCTGATACTCTAAGACTTAGCGACGACCTGCCTTCCGAGCCCGTTCTGCAGCACTCGAGCCTTTCTTTTGTATTTACTTTTTGTCTACCTTATTTCAGACAGTAGCTTAATGTTTTGTATATTCTACTAGTATCTCATACACTTGTGACACCGACTCTTGGAAATTATAGTAGTAGACATTTGATGATTTTTGAATATTTACTTCACCTCATTTGTTCTTAAATTTGTTTACTCCTTATTTTATTAAATTTCTCACTTCTTATTTATTCAATAATTAAAAACCAACTATTTCTAAATTGTTAAAAGAAACAATCACATGGTTAGTTCATTGTTGGCTTCCCTAGTTGTAACGTTGGGTGCTATCACGCCCTATAGGACAAATTGGGTCGTGACATGACCAAGAGTTGACTTTTATGATATCGGGTTCGGAATGTGATTGCGAGAGCTGGACTAGCTCCGTTATGTCATTTGGATCTTGCATGTAAAATTTGCTATCATTCCGGGTTGATTTTGTATGTTTCAGTGCTATTTTTAGAAGTTCGAACACTTGGAAGTTCATAAGTTCGATTCATGGTGCGATTCATAGTTTCGATATTGTTTTATGTGATCTGAGACCTCGAGTGAGTCTGTGGTATGTTATGGAACTTGTTGGCATGTTTCGATAGGGTGCCAAGGACTTCGGGTGTATTTTTGATGGACTACATGCCATTTCTCCATGTTGTTGGACTGCTTTTTTGCTGGTATCTGATTTTCTTCTTCGCATTCGCACCAACTTTTCCAGGTTTGCGTACTGTAATTTTGGAGGCATAAAATATTTGCTCTTCACGTTCGCATGCTACTGCCCGCGACCGCGTACGGGTGCATCACCCTTCTTCGCGTTCGCACTCAATGTTACGCATTCACGTAGCGCGGCTATAACAGCTGGGAAATTCCTCCTTCTCATTTTCGATAGCATTTCACCTCACGTGATCGCGTAGTTCAGTCCTTGGGCCATTAGAGTGCCCTTCTTTGTAATCGCATGTATCTATTCGCGATCACGTAGCATAATTGCTGGACAATAGTCATTTCCTTTTCGCGATCGCATTTGCATTTCTACGATCACAATGTACAAATCCTTGGGCAGCAGAATATATTTTTCAAAATCGATGGTTTGGCCATTTTTATCATATTTGACTTGTAGAGCTCGGTTCTGAGAGATTATCGTGGGTTTTAAAGCAAATCATTGGAGATAAGTGTTCTTCACCTAGAATTTGTTATATTTCATGATCCCATCTTTATTTTTATCTTATAATTAGTGTTTTGAGTTGAGGAAAATGGGAATATCTGAAGAAATATTTCAAAATGTAAAATGATGATTTGAAGGACGAATTGATGTCGGAAATCGATAATTTTGGTATGGTTGAACTCGTATTGAAGCCCGGGGTTTGACTTTTGGGTTAACTTTAGTTCTTGTAAAATATTGAAGCTTTATTATCCAGAATTGTTTGCTTTGAGTTTTATTTATGAATTGAAGTTATTTTGGCTAGATTTGAGCTGTCCAGAGGTTGTTTCACTCGAGCAGGTCATTCTACAGTAACGGTCTAGCTTCTTTGAGGTAAATATCTTGCCTAAGTTTGTGTGGGGAAACTACCCCTTAGGATTTGAGTCTTTGGTGCTAATTGTGTCATGTGAAGCCCGTGTACGCGAGGTGACGAGTACGTGCTTGGGCTTATTCTTGGAAATTTGACCGTTTAGGGCTCTTAGGTTCTTATGATCATTATATATGAAGTTGTTTTGTTATGTTAAATCCTCCATTTGCTAAATTCACCCATATGTGTCTTAATTGAAATTAATTACTTCATATTTTACCCTTGTTGTTGATTAAACTCTTATGTGCCTTAACTGAAGATGTTGCTTCTTTTATTGCTATGTTATCCTTTCCATAATTGCTTATCTTTGATTTAAGGTATTGTTATCTTTCCCATAATATGCTTACCCTTAAATGAGTTTGTTGAATCTCTTCCATAATTGCTCAACCTAATTGAAGTTTTGTTATCTCTTATCATTGTTGACTTAACCTTAATTGGAGTCATTGAATCATGCTATCCCTCTTATCGTTGGATTGTACATATGTGGAATCATTGATACACGGTATCTCTTTCTTGTTGATCTATTGCTATATTGTACCATTATTTCATGTTGTGTCTTTCCTTGTGAGCTCGTTCTTCCATCTCTTTGTGTTCTGGAGTTCTTGAGTTGACTTACTTGCCGTATTTTTGTGTTATTGTTGTTATTGCTGTTGTATTCAGTGTTGTGTTTGCACGAGGTTTCTGCCGTGCAGTTGTTATTGTGGCACGAGGTTTCTGTTGTGCGATTGTTATTGTGGCGCGGGGTTTTTGCCGTGCGGTCATTATTGTGGCATGAGGTTTCTGTTGTGCGGTCGTTATTGTTGCAGGAAGTTTCTGACGTACTATTGTGATTCATTTTATGATTTAAGACTACGAGGCAGTACCTTAGGAGGGCTCTATTATTATTTCCCCTTTTCTGTACACTTGTCTCTGAGTGTTGTCTTCTTTGGCATACTATTAATTGTTCTTCTCTGTGTTGCATTATTTGCTCAGTTCTACGTAGCTAATCTGGTTGTGTTGGTCACTGCTTCAATCTTCGTTGCTGTCTTATTTACACTATATATTTTATGGTGATCGTTTCTTATGTGCCATTCATTGTTTTTGCTCTTATTTGTTGACTTGGATCGTGGTAGAACACTTGCACAAGCATACATGTAGATTAATCATGCATATCAGTTTAAGAAGATGAATCTTGACGTTATTGACCATTACATGTATCCTTGTTTACTTGTTTTCTCTGTGAGAGTTGTTTCCCTTGGCACGTGAGTCATCCGTACGGTTATGAATTGAAATGTGGGCACAAGATGCCAAGTGATTAGGGTTCAAGAATTGGGACCCATGAGCTGTGATTTTGAGGATCGGTACCTCGTGCAAATGTTTGAACAATGCTGTGTGAAAGCGGTTGTTCTTATTGATTTGTTGCTGGTTTTCTTTTATTTGGTTTCACTGACTAAGACTGTGTTTAGTTTACTCTACAACATTATTACCTGACTACTTCTTGTTAAATATTGTTGTTGTTAGTGTATCATTGCAAGTATTAATCTATGTTCCTTATCATGCTTAGCTTTATATTAATATTGTTTCCTCTGTTAGTTCTCCTTCACACTTGTTCAGGTTGTTTAATCGGGTAGGTGTCTTGACTGTCCCTCATTGCTACTTTACCAAAGTTAGTCTTGATACTTACTGGGTACCGTTGTGGTGTACTCATATTATGTTTTTGCATATTTTTGTACAAATCCAGGTGCCACAGTTGTTGATTATTAGCTGGCTGGTCGAGCTATCGAGATTCAAGGTAAACCTGATGTTGCATTCGCAGGCCTCGGAGTCACCTTCTGGTTTTGTACTACCGGTTTTGGGAATCGTAAGTTATGCAATAAGGTTTTTATTTCATATTTATCAATTGTTGATTAAATTCTTCCATTAATTTAGTAAGTCTTAGGCTTACCTATTCTTAGAGACTAGGTGCCGTAACGATATCTTACGGGGGAAAAGTTAGGTCATGACATGTACGGTATCTGTCTCCAAGAATTCCACGGCTCATGATAAAATGGCTTCATAAAATTCACAACTAAATGTATAGACTAAAATGATGGCAAAAACCTGCATTAAAGTTGACATACATAATTAATAACGTCTTAAAGTTTCAAAGTTTTAATTATAAATAAATATTCCTTAATTTTAACATATCTAGAAGTACATTCAAACTTTAAAAATCGTATAAGAATTACCTATCCATCCTCGTAGGTGTCAATTATTAACCGATTATAACTATCATAATTGTACATCCCCTCCAAGATTTTGCCTGTGTCTACTAGAAGGTGTAGAAATACCACTAGATGTAATTGGGCGAGAGCCTCTAATATCCAACCTAGATATGCTGGGAGTGGATGATGATGATGGAATGGAAGATGATGGAGCAACAAAAGACGAACCATCATGTTGACTAACATGGAAGCTTGGGGATGCAGCACCTGGGTGAGCCACCATGCTGACTACCATAAAAGCTCGGGAATGCAGCAACAGGTGAGACACTATGTTGACTACCATGAAAGCTCAAGGGTGCAGCAGTTGGTGAGCCACCATACTGACTATCATAAAAGCTCTGGGGTGCATCAGCTGCTGAGCTACCATGCTGATTACCATGAAAGTCCGGTGAAGAAGATGGTATAGAAGGTGTGGGTATAAAGTTAAAAACAGTGTTACTTTGACTTTCTTTGGTAGGCATATAATAATATTGAACTAAATTATTAGATGCATGGAGGATAGTGAACATGGTATATGGCAATGAAGTCGACTGAGGAGGATGAGGAAGAGGATGGCGAGGAAGAGGAGGACTCATATTTGGCATAGTTGAGGTAGTTGGAAAAATTAATTTTTCTTCTTAGATATCACATTTTCCTTCCCCTTAGATGACATATCTGTAATATAATTATAATAAAATACAAAACGAAAAATACAACAAGTGATATTAAATATAAAATAATTATTCTGCAAATCAAATGACTAAAGAAATAAATAAACAATCTAATAAGTCATAAAAATATAAAATAATTGTCACGACCCGGAATATCCACCTTCGGGACCGTGATAGTGTCTAACGTTTCACTCGCTAGGCAGGCCAATATTAGAGAAATTCTTAAACCAATTTTTAAACCTTCCCAATAAATAAACCAATTAAACTGAAATTAAACTAAAATGAAGCATGAAGTAGTAAAATAACCAGCATATCTAAACAGAACCCGGTTCTAGAGTTACAGGTACACGAGCTTCTAGAGGTCCTACACATAGCGTCTGAAATGAATACAACTGTTTCGAATGAAATGAACAGTAACTAAGGAAAGAGGAAGGGGAATTCAAGGTCTGCGGATGCCAATAGTTCTCCCTCGAGTCTCCAAGTGCTAATCCAAGCTGATGCATCCCACGTACAGCTGGGAAAGGTAAAAAAATCTGCACAAGAAGTGCAGAGTATAGTATGAGTACAACCTACCCAATACTTCGTAAGAGCCGAGCCTAACCTCGATGAGGTAGTGACAAGGCTATGACAGGACACTAACGCAATCAAACCTGTACTGTCAAAAATATACGTACAACATAATAACAAATAAAGAATTAATAAGTTTGGGAGGGGACATGCAGAAAACGGATAAACGTATTAATTAAAGATGGCATGACATCACCCATTGTGCTTTTATGTTCAACCTCACCATGAAATGATAATAATGGAACGGCATCACCCTTCATGCTTTTACTCTTGATCTCTCCATGAAACAAAAAATACGGCACGACATCACCCTTCATGATTTAACTCTCTTCCTCACAATGTATTAATTAATAAATGAAACATATAACGACATGTCATTACCTTTTATGCTTTAACACTCTCCCTTAATATGTAATGATGAATATAAAAATAAACAAGAATAAGCTTTACGTCGATAATGGTTCCGAAACACCAATCCTCAGTTTCAAAGAAATACTCAACCACCATAACTAAATTCATAAATCCGGGGAGAACAATCAAATAAGAAATAAACTACTCTAAGCATGGACATCACAAATAAAGAAGGCAATAAATTATAAGCAACAAGTACCAATTGCATGCTTTAACCAACCAACAACCCATAAGTACTCGTCAGCTCACTTATACGTCATACCCAAAAATTAAACACGTAGAAAATAGGCAAACAAGTCCTAATCCCTCAAGTCAAGGTTAACCCCGACATTTAACTCACTCCTCAGTCAACTCAGAGCTCTATCGAGGCCTTTTCTCTAGAATCCACCTCCAAACCACTCGTATCTAACCACAATCGACTCGATAACGTCTAATAACACAAAGGAAATCAATTACAATACATAAAGATTTACACATTTCCAAAAAGTCAAGAAAAGTTAACCCCCAGCTCGCTCGGTCAAAACCTGAGGTTGGGACTAAAATACATTTACCCATTCGCCCTCGAGCCCGATTATGTAATTATTTTATCTCCAGCATCTTTATTCACACTAGTCAAATCTGTGCTAGAGCATACCACAAGGTAAGGGTGATTAACTGCCTACCGATCAAAGAAGGACATTGGTCAAACACATGTATGTTGTAACAAGTCAAATTGCATATTTCTATTGTTTAAACTGTTACTTTCTTTTAAGCATATCATTCGAGAGGCAAGATCAGACGAAGCAAATGAAAAGTCAATGTTTGTATCTGAGCTCATGTAATAGGGGACCTAATATTACATAATACTATAGCCAAGCATAATAGAAGGACTAGAAAACTAAAAACAGTCACTTCAAAATTAAGTTCACAAAAAAACACTAGGACAAAAGATTTAGCTTTGACATAAGAAAATAATTTAAGCAAACAACCATGTTTAATAAACTTTAGCAGTCGTTTGATAAGCTGGACTGCACATCAAATAGGTCTTTCATAGTCCAATATTTCCACCGATTTACATATTTTCTCCATACTAGATTAATTGATGTGGTCTCATAATTCCCTTGGCCAAACTCTTGATAAATCCCTTGATCAAACTGTGGTAACTATCCGTTATTATCTTCCAAATACATGCCTAACCATCCAAGTTGTGAATACAAGGCTTTAATAAAACTAAAACAATGTAATACTATACTGATAAAATTATAAGGGGAAAATGTTTATATAAAAACTGCAGCAGAAAATGGGATATGAAATAGAAGATGAAAATATAAGAAGCTGTTGAACATGTATTTCAATGCACACATAAGAAATGTATTGAAGTTCAACCAAAGGACTATGGAGAAGAGGCAGATAATGAATCTCTAATGTCAAATTGAGGTCTAAATCCCTAATTTGCAAAAAAAATCTCAATTCTTCCTAAATTCCTAGTTTTCTACCATGGAAGAACAAAGATTATGGCTAAAAATTAATAGGTGATGATAGAAATGGAAGAGAATGAGTTAAACAGTACAAACCTATGAATTGGTGCTGAGTTTTCGCTTCAAAATCGCCTCTAGGCCAAGCTCTAATGGAGAGTTTATGAAAAATGGGTAAAATCCTGTTTTTGAAATATTTAAGCCACTGTGTGTTAGGTGTTCATCACGATTGCATGAAACCTGATGCATTCGTGAAGGTCACTACCTATCAGGCTTACACAATCGCGAGTAACTCCACGCATTCACGAAGGTTAAGCCCACCTCACTTCCGCGTTCGCGAGCCTAGGCTCGTGTTCACGTAGAGTAACCTCAAATCCCAGCCCCTGCCTCTCAAAGCTAAATGCTCGCGTTGGTGTGGACGTGTCCGCGAAGGGCAGTCCCCCTAGTGCTCTGCGTTCGCATCCTATGCCTTGCGTTTGCATAGGGTAATTTCCCTCCCCAGCCCAGATCTCTCTTCCCGATCGTGTGAGTACCTTCGCGATCGTGAAGAAGGAAACACCAGGTGACATGTGATGACCCGATAGGTTATCTAGAGTTTTAACTCTTAATTTTGCATTTCAAAACCTAAAATGGATCCTTTTAGCCTCCCTCGATTTGCATGCGCAGTACGTACTTTTTTCCGGAAGGCTTTTATGTGAAAAATTGACTAAAAGGTGAATTTGTGCCTTAAAAATTCATTTGAGGTGACTTTGGTCAACATTTTGAGAAAATGGATACCGTATCTGTGTTTTGACAGTCCCGGTGGATCCATATAATGATTTGGGACTTGGATGTATGTTCAGAATCGAATTTGTAAGTCCCTAGCTCGATTTATCATAATTTGTTGAAAATTTGAAGTTTAAAGGTTTAAAAACTTTATAAATTTGACCGATGTTTGACCTTGTTGATACCGTGTCCGTATTTTAGTTCCAAAACTTGGTATAGGTCCATTACTATATTTATGACTTGTTTGCAAAATTTTGTGCAAAACATAAGTGATTTGACGTGATTTGCACGTTCGGTTGTTAAAATAGAAATTCTTATGTTCATTGAAAGTTTCATGGTGTCCAATTCATAGTTCTAGGTGTTATTTTTATGTTTTGATCACGTGAGCGAGTTCGTATGAGGTTTTTGCACTTGTGTGCATATTTGGTTTAGAGCCCCAAGGGCTTAGGTGAGTTTCAGATAGGCTAAGGATGTTTCGGACATAGAAAAATCTGGTTTTTGAGCTTCAGCTGTTATCTGGTGTGTTGTGCTTCGTGATCGCGAAGGGGATCTGGGAATGGGGAGGATTTGTTCTACGCTAACGCGAGGGGTTGGACGCGAACGTGGAGCAGTGGGGTGTATGCCCTTTGTGAACGCACCCATACCTACGCGAACGCGTAAGGTTTTATGCCTGGGGAGGGGGTACTGGGTTAGTGCTATGCGAACGCTAACCAGGGGAAGCTAACGTGATGGTCAGGGGGGGGAACCATTGTGTCACGACCCAAACTGGAGGGCCATGACTAGCACCCGACCATATTTGCCGAGCACCAACGTACATTTTATCTAACCTTTTTTTATTATCTTTTAGGGTTGACAAGATCAATATAAATGGTAGAAATGGATCATGGACAACCAACAATAAAATATGATGGCATGAACATACATAACAGGGGATGACCATACAATCAAGAAACTACATATAAGGTACAAGCTATCACGCTACCATGAAAGACTATACAACAAAAACCAGACGACAAGGCACGCCAAACTATACATGAGTCGACACCTGTCTATGAGCCTCTAAATGAACATAAGTGATACAACATAGCCGGAACAGGGCCCCGACATACCCATAATGTCTATAACAAAAATGCATACCAAGACCACGGCAAGTCCGGAGAAGGGATCTTGTCAATCACTATTGAACTGGATAACCTACTGTGGTGGGGGAGCTGCACCTGCCTATCTATCAGGGCCTGCAGCACGACATGCAGCATCCACAAATAAAAGGACGTCAGTACGAATAAAGTACTGAGTATGTAAGGCAGGGAACCATAAATACGAACA